AATTTGGCATAGATGTAGGACATAGCTTAAAAGAACACATAGACATATATTTTTTAAAATTCACGTAGACGGTAAGCGGACGGAGTCGTGAGTGACAGTTAGTGTTCCTATATAATTTTTGTTTATAGGTTTTGTACATGTGATACGCCACGGGAAATTCTCAATAAGCCAGTCTTTATTCACCCCGACAATTCTATTCTTGAAAACGACCTTTATTTTCCATTTAATCCAATGGTACCTACACAAATGCAAGCTTCTTCATTTCTTTTAATTCTAAATTGATTATACCGTTATGCAATGAAGGCATTTAGCATCGATGCCACATAACATAGAGTAAAGCAGTTCACTTTGAAAGTAGAACGGAACGAATTGAATTGGTCCCACGAATGTAAAGGCTTAGGTTGTAATATTTATCATCACTCTTTTCATAAAGATTTAAAGTATTAATACACTATTTATGCAACATAGTTTTATCATATCTCTGTCTTTATCCCACACACGTAGGGTTGACGCAACAGTTTTCGTCCTCCATATCGATCTGTTTTCCGTCATCTCAGACACTTAGTCTTAGTTTGTAATATTTATCATCAGTCTTTTCATAAAGTTTTAAAATGTGAAATATAATACTAGAATGTTTATGCACCATAGCTTTATCATATCTCTGTCTTTATCCCACACACGTAGGGTTGACGCAACAGTTTTCGTCCTCCATATCGATCTGTTTTCCGTCATCTCAGACGCTTAGTCTTAGTTTGTAATATTTATCATCAGTCTTTTCATAAAGTTTTAAAATATTAAATATAATACTAGAATGTTTATGCACCATAGCTTTATCATATCTCTGTCTTTATCCCACACACGTAGGGTTGACGCAACAGTTTTCGTCCTCCATATCGATCTGTCTTCCGTAATCTCAGACGTCATTCCCGTTTTGATCATGAACATAACATAGTTTATCTTTAGAATATTAGGATGAAAAATTAGTTTAAATTATATTCGGTAAACAAAACACCTACCATTTTAAAAATTCTTTTAGCGTTAAAAAGCTACTTTATCCTTAGGGAACCCACAATATTTGTTTTTATTAATATCAAAGTTTAAGCTCACTTAGGCGGCTGTCACGAACGGTTTGTCTAGTATAAATTTTAAAAATCCTTAGGTAAAAATCAGCAGACTGAAATGAAAACGCGTAGGAGTTGATAAAATTTGTTATAACATTTTACGAGTATATTATTAATATACGATAAAAAAATTTATATTTGAAAATTATAATAGTATGAATAAAATTTGTAAAATTATTATTTTTTTAATTTCATTACTTATATAAATTACAAAATGTGTTACAAAATTTATACATTTAGTGCAATCATGATTTTATCTTACTAATATTATAAATGCGAATGTTTAGATGAATGGGTTTTTGTCTCAATCACCAGAACAGCTGCATGAATCTCGCTGAAATTTGGCCTATGCCTAATACTAAGAGGTATAGCATAATCTGGAAGAATACATAGGCTACTTATTAAGTTTTTTTTTAATTCCCCGCAGACGAAGTCGCGATCGACAGTTATTATAATTATTAACTTTAACTACATACATCAATATTGTTCATATTCTATTCTATATATTAACCTAATATTGAGACCATAAAGACTTAATAATCGTAAATAACGTTGTTAGGGAACAGAGTTGTTCAGATGCGTAGGATTGAAAGGGCATTACAATTAATATCCTTTGCGAGTGTCCCTTGGGTTAGTACTAGTATCACTTGCTTAAGTCGTAACTTCCTCCTACATAAAATGCAATTCCTGAGAACTAAACGCAGCGCAGTCTTTTGTTTATTCATATTTTTCCTAATTTATAATTCTTTGTTATTAACTAGTAAACGGTAATGGGTTTTTAAATGTCTTTGTCGTTTAAAAGTTTACTCAATATCAAATCAATTTGTGTAACCATAAAAATTAAATACCGTTATAACTACACTATACTAATATTATAGATTCTAATGTTTAGATGGATGGATGTTTGTTAGAAGTTCTCTTCAAAACCGCACAATGAATCTCGATGAAAATTGGCATAGATGTAGATCATAGTCTGAAAGAAAACATAGGCTACTAAATTTTGTAATCAATAAAATTCTGTTTGTTTAACTAGACTCTAACATGAACTCAATTATGTTTTACAAATTTGCTTACATCCGTCTAATGCCTTTGATTTCACTTAATAACATATCGAATACAATCTAATCTAATTATCTAGATTGCGGTATTCCGCTTTGGTATTACATTGTAATTGTATTATGAGTAACTGTAACTTAATTTTCATACATCTTATATTCAATTATAAACGCTATTACACCTTATATATTCACAGCTCATATATAAGGTAGTAAGATTATATATTATATTTATATTTCTGACATATCTGAGACGTGTTTTTATTATATATATATTTTTGCACAATATTTTTAATAACTTTTAAATACGCAAGACTTGTATTCACTTCTGCTCGATAAGATTTATTTGATTGTCAATTTTTTCGCCTCATTTATGTATTGTCAATCATTTCCTTATGTCTCGATCACTACAGCATAACATTGGACTCTCTATAAACTTGTTTTTCCTCTTATGTTCTAAAGTAGAGATTTTCATTTGACACTATTTTGACAAAGAAAGTTGAGTTCTTCAATATTCATGAACAGGTACATGATCATGGGTTACAAGTACCCCTTTTTTAGGACTTATTGTGTCGTCCCTCCTTTAACCCTACTCAGATCCTACCATTTTGCACCATAGACTTGTCATGTTCATCTTCATTCGTCTTAAATACTTATAAATGGTTTTTTCGTTATTATTTCTAGCAATCGTATCATGAACAATATCAAAGTAACATACAAAGTTTTTAAAGCGATTATAATGAAGTACGAAGTGTGAGAACGAAGTTAGACTCGCGAAAATTATCCATCGCTGTTCTTAGAAATTTTAAATTTTCGTAAGAAAACATCTAAAGATTTTAAACCCTTAACTGTGAATTATTTCACACATGTGACCTTTTAAAATTAACTGTAAATGTCACCGATGGATTATGAACTTCGCCATAATATAGAAAAGGACGTGGGGAGATGAGGTGAAACTAAATTATAACAGCTCACTAGCGCACCATTGTCAGCGTCGAAAAAGTGTCACCAAATCTTTTTCGTACTTTAACTGTCATGTTATTTTTTCTTTTATGCCATTTTAGATGTCCATGTAGGTTTTACATATTTTCCGAAAGGACCAAATGCGACAGCAGCGTCTCTGTCGCCAACTCAGATGTTATTTGACTATACATTGAATAACTGTTTAAACGTAACCTAACATTTTAAATCTTTACAGAACCTAACTTATAAGTTATCATCTACTCCAAGATGAACTTAGTGACTCACAATATCAGTTTAGAGCTAGCTAATAATTTATACTATGAACTTCCTAAGTTCATAGTTCGGAATATCACAAGTCATTTTAAAAGGAGTATAGTCAAAAATTTATACAACCATTTCCTATTTTTAACCTCAAAAGCTGGTATTGGATCAAAATACTTGTATATTTATTACAAAGCCTACGTGACCTTTTTATCCATACATTTATACTATAACAAAGAACACCCAAAGGTATTTATATATGATAAAAATATGTCATCTTTCACTTAAGGGTAACTCAAAGTTTAACATCAATATTCACTTAACCTTTTTATAAAAATATAACAAGCCTTTACTAAAATTTTAAAATATTACTATGTTGTTTTACTTAAACGATATAAGTACGGCCTTTGAAGAATAAAAACCTGTTAACATCGTATTTTTAAGTTTATTAGATCTGTAAAATTGGGTAGAGTTTGTAAGTCCTGTAAGTAACGCGGCTAAAAAACTATTATTCTAGACTTTACATAAAAACATAATGCCATCCCACTCACTTTCTCCGATAAAACAAAGACAGCAATATGTTTTCGGAGAAATGTTTCAGCAGTGTAAACCGCCGATTATATTGTGCAAAACATTTAGGTTAAAAGACATGAAATTAATTTCGCTGTCCACAGGCATATAATGAGTTTAGTCGTTTTTTTGTTTAATGTTTTGCCCGACATCCGATATTACGTAAGTAAGTTTTCTCAGTCGCTATCAATTAATCGTATCATTGCCTTCGATACAGTTGTTAGAACCGATTAATTGAAACAGTATTTAGTTGAGAAACAAGCGTCTATCTATACTTTAACATTAAAAAGAGGAAAGTTTTTTTTTAAAGAATAAACTCAAAAACTACTTGATCTATTTCAAAAATTCTTTTGACATTAGCAAGCTACATGACCACTGAGTTACATACATAGGCTATAATTTTGTTTTATTAAACTGTTTGTCAAAGATCGCAAAGTAAATTACCGAATACCGTATAAAAGTGCACACTATGACATAATTTGACACACATAAAAATTGACCCAAATATTTTATCGATTAAAGGGCGCTTCGAACACACCAACCTGTCGGCTCAATTTCTTAAGCTGTCGTAGTGAAACTAAGAGAATGAAATTACTAAAATATTGCTTAAGTATCATGCAGTAAGTCTATAAAAATATACACTTCTTTTATTTTCTCACACTCAATTTCTATTTTTTTTTTGGACTAAAAGTTAAAAGAGACTTCGTAAAAACGCAGTTACAGACGCTGCCAATACCTCAACATTAGGCACGGTTAAGTACTTGTTGCAAAAGGATATTTCTTAATGTTTACAAAAAATTCAAATATCAGTTTCCAATTTCATATTATTTAAGTATTTTGATTAAAAATCAATATTTAATTTTATATTAAAATTTTATATGCTGGTTTTCAGACTTTAAAATACTTGTAAGTAAAGTGTGGCAATTATTTTTTTCATAATAACATACTGTTACAATATTATTGACATTGACTCACACGGAACGAATGCAGTTCGGCCTTCACTGTTTTTATGACATTAAGCAAAGAGCAATGACGTAAAAAGCTAATAAATATATTTTTAATATTTCTCACTGTTTGCGTAAAGTCTGTACAGTATATGGCAAATATCACAGAAATTATTTCTTATAGTGTTCAAGTTAAAGCCATTAACCAACTGTCGACGGGCGGCTTTGTAATTTTTGTCCCATCCATTCCAAGGCCAAAAGGTGAACTTCCAGATGTTCTTAGATAGTAAAGTCCACGTGTTTTTATCGAAGACCCGTACCCGAGAACGGCAAGATCTTTTTCACAGGCATTTTGCTCGAAATGCTGCCAACTTTTACATCTAATACCCACAAATGACTTAGGTGTTTTTATACTTTCGGCGTAAACGGACGCCGCTCGCAGATGACTGCAGGATGGCACCATACATCCGGGCTGCACCGGCCCACCACCATTAATATAGAAATCGGCATGACCCAATGGTTCTATGACGCCTTGAATTAATCTGTTTGAATGTACAACATCAACGTACAAGGCATCAGTTTTATCCAGTCTCTGGTCAGCGTACGTGTAGGAGAAGCAAGGTCCTGCAGGATCCAAGCCAGTTATTCGTCCTATAGAACGACTTTTGTACTGTCGAAAATATTTTCCGGTCCAACCGGCGATGTGAGCGCCAAGGCTGATGCCGAGAAGATGAAAGTCTTCAGCGTTTGCTCCGAAAGTTTCTAAATTCGCCAATAAATTTGCTAGTCTCTTTCCAACCAAACGAGCGTTGTGTACGGATAAAACGTATCCCTTATTCATCATTTCTTCTGCATCGACTAACAAGACATTGAATATTTGTTTGTCATTATACGCTTCGGCTAAATCCTGTGAGACTGATGATTGGGAGCTATCTCTAAACCCGTGAATAATGATTTTCGTTTGCTTCGTAATATCAAACATGGCGGGTTGTGTGAGTGTTTGGTAAGCTTTATCTATAGCAAAAGTTTTTCTCATAGTGGTATCAAGATGGGTAATTTTCATTGTTTTAACAATATCATCTTGACTGCTCATTGAATTAAACTGTAGATCCACTAGAGCTCTACCTGCGAAAGCAGAAATTATTTTATTTACAACGGTACTTATCTGCATTACGTTACTTATCTTTTTAATAACTTACATGCGCTAGACAGTCGTACGTAGAGGAGTTCAGCGAAAGTAAGGTCTGCTTCAGAGCGGCGTGCACCTTGAGGTGTCACTTGTAAAGGTGACAAGATCGCGAGCAGTGTAAACAGTAGCACGGTGTGTCGGTGCATGGCCCGAGCCCCGCCGCTAACACGGTCACTGTGTCACTGTCCGCAAAGAGAGAGGTACGTCTAGCACTCGCCTCACAAAAGGGAAATCGCCGAGGAGGGGATTATCTGGTGCAATTAATGTGCACTCAGCTCTACATTCGCGCGCCGAAGGCCATTGACTGATATTAAGTTTACATTGAAACATTATATCATATAAGCGCATGCCTCGATAAATCACTTATCGGGCATATTTTTTTATGTTACCAATAAAAAATAGATAAATTAAATATTTTGTACTCTACCCTGTCAATAAATAGTTATTACAATAAACATATTCTTCAACGTTGAATCTTTGTTAATTGTTTTACAACTTTGGAAAAATAAATAAATTATTATGTGTTCTTACTTATACCTACTTCATGAATTTACTACTTACATTTTTTACAACAATGCATCAAAACAGCTGACAATCATTATACATATTATTTTTATTTTAAAACACGTTGAAAAATATTTCACTCCTACTTGTTTAATTTTTATCCAGAAAATTATACTGTAAACATAATAAAATGAATGAATATTTTTATTACATATTATAATTTTCCTCATCATTATCATTTCACTATACGTCCCCACTGAGGGGATCGGAGCCTTCCCTAAGTAAAGGGTAATTAGGCCATAGTCAACTACGCTGGCCCAGTGCGGGTTGGTTGACTTCACACATATCTTTATAATTCTTCTCAGATATGTGCAGGTTGCTTCACGATGTTTTCCGTCACCGTAAGAACGTCGGATAAATGTACATATGTAAATCGGAAATCGAAAAACACATTGGTACATGGCGGGATTCGAATCCAGGACCTGCAGATTGCAAGTCAAGTGCTTGAGCTACCGACGCTCTATTATTTATTATTATAATTTTATCATACAAAGTACTTTTCCATTGAATAGAAAATTTTAATATTTAGAATATAATTAACAAGATATTAAAAAATACTTGCAACTCTTTACGTCATTAGCAGTTATAAACATTTCATTAAAATTAGCTTAAAAAAACTTTGCGAAGGAATTCATTTGATATGTAAATTAACGACTCTAGTCAATGATTGTCGTAGATAAAGTAAAATTGAAACTCTGTGTCAATTTATCATTAGTTCAATACTTTGATGATAAAAGTGTAAAGTATTTTGTAGCACTATGTAATAAAAATCTTTTCCAAGCGGAGTTATAGTTTCATGTGTCTGAAAATTGATGCGTTTTGCGCAATATGCAACCCAAAGTGACTTGTGTCTTTCTATTTCTTTTTTAACCTTTTGTTGCTTTTGATTTAGTTGCCGGGATTGTTCACAACACTGCTAACTTAGAGGAATAAGTAAATTAGAAAAAAATCTAACTGTAACCTTTTTATATTTTTATTTCTTACTTCGACCTTGTCTTGCATAGTACTAATTATACTGAAGCGTGAGAGTATTTTTGATCGCACTGTTTGTATTTTGTATACTGCAGGTGCGCATTTATCAAATTTATTAAACATATTGTTATCCCTCTCTTTCTCTTTAAAAAAATAAAGACAACAATATGTAGAAACATTAGTGTCACCTCAGTGGACTTTCACGGTTACTTAAGGCCGTTCGTACACCGAGGTTGGGACCGTGTAACGTGTATTATTTGTTAAGTAGTGGTCATTGTATTTGGTGAACAATTATGTTGAATAATATGTTTTATATAACATACTAATCCAAGTACGTTAACGCACACAAAATTTGTGCAAGTAAACACGTCGATGCATTTAGATTTAAAAATTTCAAAATTGCGGAGAAAAATATGAGAAATGTCGCACTTAAAATCTATTTTACATTTTTCGAGATGTTACGTTGCAACTAGAAGAGCACAATAGTTTCGGTCATTAAAGTACAAACCGTAGGCGCGTTAGGCGAATACTTCCGCGTTTTGTGGCGACGTAACATCATTGTGGTGAGTGGCGACAGTTACGAAATATCTCGCTATTATTATATAGTCAGACAAAGTTATCCGGCCCGATGAAGTTGCTGTCACAGTTCTGTCAGAAAATATGTAAGCCTAAAAAATTATACGAAATAAAAATAATGAGCCACAGTACGACAAAGATCTTGTGAAACTTTTTTAAGTTGACAATGAGATTGTAACAAAGTCCAACAAGGATATCTGGGCCAGGAGAGAGGCGTTGCCCGCGATTAATTCTATAAAAATATTTAAAACTTAAACATGGATAATAAAGCACTTACGACAACTTAGAAAGTGTTCTTGGTATTGAGAGAAGGGCGTTAGTGAATTATCGTGATTTAGTTTGTAGTAGTTAGTGACTCATAACCACCGGGTCAAATATCCTTGCCGGTCTATATTGTCACCTGGTCAGATAACTTTGAAAATTTTATATGGCAGCCTTCATATTTATTTTCTGTCAACTAAGTAAGTGTTGACTAGTAAGTTTCTGTAACATAAAATGCATGTAGACATCGTAAGCACATATTTGACGATGCATTTGGCCCAATTTTACGCTTCTTCGCGTGCCAAATAGAGAAACAATTTGCATTATAAATTGCCTCCTGTTTTAAAAGCTACACTATTGAATAATTACAACTGTGTAAAAGTATTAAAACTAAAATTTGACCTTAAATAATAATTGAAGACTGTTATATATTTTATTATTATTTTTGTAAAAAAAAAACACTTAATTCGCCTTACTTTTTACTTCAAATAAAATGTTGTTGCATAAAATCTTTGGTAAATTGGACGTAAGAAATTTTTCATTCTTAACTTGAAACGTTTCGTTGTGTTTACACATGTAGGGATTTGGTTTGACGGAAAGTTCTTGTTGTTTCTGCTGTTATTTTAACTAAGGTTTTTAAAATGATAGTATTTTTCACATAGTGCTAAAGTAATTACTATGTTCTTACTTAACGACTTTTATTTAATTTTGTAAGTAAAATAAATTTCTTGTTTACTTACATATACTTAGTAATTACTAACTTATTACTTACTTAGTAATTAAAGCTATGCACATTATTGTCTATTTTATTGCAAAAGTCGTAATTTATCGGATGATCAAATATTATTTTTATTAAAACAATGATTTAAGTAAATACCTAATCTTTGAGATGTAAAATTAAATATGAACCAACAATTTATTGAATTACTTTACATAAATGAGGAGAGCCACAGAACGACTACAACTGTTACAGAGCGATTTAAATTATTATACCGATTGCAAAAGGAAATAGTAAATAAACATTTCGTTGACCGTACAAAGAAAAATATAACTAGAAAATGCGTAGCTTTTACAAATGTCAAGCTAAACCAACAGAACCATGTTGTGCTTTGTTGTGTTGTGTACCGATTGTATAAGTAATCAAATTCAATTTAATTCTCTTATAAAAGAAATAAAGCTTTAGCCTACCTTTTACTTAGCTTTACGAACCAAAAAAAAAACAAATAAATTCTCTCTCTCTCTATGGTTTAAAATGGAAAATGTCCATTTAGGCTATTTTGATACTACTATAGCTTCGAGAAAACGGATAGCACGGGCATTTTTTTTCTCAGCAGATAAAACACGCGAAAAAAGTTTGTCATTTATCCGCAAGAAAATCACAATTATACAATGTATCTTCGGATTGTCTGATGGTTAAATAAATGAGTATTATAAGGCTCAGTTCGAAGTTAAAACAAATTACTTACTTACATTCAATTAATATGCAAAACAAGCAACATGCTTACAATAGCTACAAATACTACCAATTTTGCTTAGACTATTAAACGTAGACGTGTTGTTTTACAAAAGATAAATAAAAAAGACAGCCTTATCGTAAGTTCTAAATGTAATGGGTAACACTTAAGACGATTGTCAAGAAGAAAATGACTTAAATCGAATGTTATTCGCATTTTGTAGGAAACAAGTGGGTAGAATAACAACAATTGGTTTTGATGCCTGCTATTAAACCAGCAGAACGCCACAATACATTATTTACGATATCAACGAATAACAAAATCGCCCACGTCCAAGTTCATACGCTTTGAAAAATTATTTATAGTTATGTTATTAAATCGGAGCGTGGGTGGCTCAGGGGTCCAGCACTTGACTTGCAATCTGCAGATCCTGAGTTCGAATCCCGCGATGTACCAATGTATTTTTTTATTACCGATTTACTTATATACATTTATCCGACGTTTTTACGGTGAAGGAAAACATCAAGACAACAAGTCAACTAACCCGCACTTGACCAGCGTGGTTGATTATGGCCTAATCACCCTTAACTTAGGGTAGGCTCCGAGCCCCTTGGTGGGGACGTATAGTGAGCTGATGATGGTGATGTTATTAAAATTTCAAAACGAGATACAGATAATGTTTCCACAATAAATCGATTTTCATATTGTACAGTTCAATGTAACCTATACTAGTATTTCAAAGAGGAAATATTTGATGGTTTGCATTGAATAGGCTCCGAAATCATTAAAGCGATTTGAATAAATAACATTCACATATTGTCTACATATTGTAGCTTTCTATGATTCAGGCTATATTTGTCCGCACGGATGAAGTCGCTGGCAACTGCTAGTCTAATTTGTAATACTTATTAGTATTTAAACATATCATCATAATAGTAACAAATATATTGCTGCATGTAACTAGAAATTTTCCAACGAAGTTTATCCTCCATTGAAAAAAAAAACCCTGTTATAAATCGCACCGATTCGAAAGTCAAAACAGGGTAAACTCGATATTGTTAAATTTTTTCGTTCCGTTCATTTTACTACTAAATTTTTTCTCTATTAATTTTTGAAAACTGTTTTCCTTTTTTCTGGACCAAGGCCAGTAATTTTTTTTTTAATTTTTGTTTAACTTTTACACTGAAATTGCCATTCGTGTTCAATTTTCACGTTAAATAAAACGCGTCATAAAAATCGTTTCAAAAGACAATTACGTTTAAGAGACAATAGTTTTAGCCGCTTAAAGTTCGGTTCGTTTAAAAATAAATGAGAGAAAA